TCCGTTGCACGCGCCCTCATTTCACTTCACTGGGGAAAAGAGCCCCCCGCAATGGATCTGAACGATAAAGGTCGATGACATTTTCGTGAAACCACGTACGTATGTTGAACATGACATCCTGAAGCTTACCTTCCAATACTTAGTATGGTGTCCCATCTGTGGCCATGTGAAGTTCGGGACTTCTTGAGGGTCACCCGGTATTATTGATGCATGACAGAGTGAATCCAGATTGACCTCGCACGTCCTGACAAACCTTTACCTTAATCTTCGTTTGTACATGGGTATGCATGTGCGCGCGTGTGTGTGTGTGTGTGTGGGGGGGGGGGGGGGGGATATTGGCGATTTGGACGTAGGAGGGATCAACCTTTCCTCAAACTAAGTTAATAATATCTTGGTTGAAAGATTTAAGAAACTAAATGGATCTCAAGTTTGTGAGTTGTGGTCAGTAAACTTGGTGAAGTTTGAAGCCGTAGTGCTCCCTCAGGCGTTCACGAAAGTTTCACCCTGGAACAAGGACAACTGCCATTAATGCTAATTAATGGCATAGGGTAATCGATTAACTCTGGCGGAAGCACACCGTTGCGGATCAAATTTCTTTCCGAGCTCACAGCACCACCTTGATGTGAAACTTTCGCCTTCGTTTAGGCCTTATCTCGAATTTCTTCTGGTTTCCGCTTCACGTTTTTCCTCGGTTTCGTTTCCCATGGTTTTGCGGACCCAGTCGAGGAACGCAGCTCTCATAATGCGATAACCGCACTAGCACTTTCGCATATTTTATGTACAGGAAATGTGCCCCTCTTACCTCACCGCATGCATGAATTCCATCCTTGACAAGTTTCCTCGAAATGCTGGAACGCAATGAAAATTATGAGCGAATGACTCTCGGGAGATCAAATCTTTACACAAGGGGAGAAGCGGGAAACGTGTCAAATCAGATTGCGCGATGTCGAAGACGAGATTACGCAATGTTCATTCGGAGTCAATTACTGACCGTGGGATGAGTGGAGAGGAAATTCTACTGATGAGGGCTTCATGCCTGCAGTAATCGCTCATTCGGAAAAGCGTGTTTTTTCTTTGAGTGTAGGGGAGGGGGAATCTCTTGTTGTTTTCTTCGGGTGGGGAACCCCATTCGAGACCGAGAAAGTGGGAAGACCGTATATAAAGAATGATGTAGTTGTGGGGGTAACGAGCTGCTCACGAGCGCACACCAAAGACGGCCTGAGAGCATCCAAGCAAAGGTCGGCCCCATCGCTCACCGCACGAGAGATGGCCCGGACGACGAGGATCGGGTTGGCCCAGTCGGTCGGCTGGAGCCCGGCGAGCTCGAGCAGGGTCATGACGGCCGGGAGTACGGCGTCGTCGAATTGGCCGTACACCCAGGGCCGACCATACTGGCTCTTGAAGGTGCCGACCCAGATCTTCCCGGTGTCGTTGAGGACGTACTCTTCACAGTCTTCTGGTGCCTCCATGTAGACGCTGTCTCCTGGAACACGGGGGAGGCGTTGGGTTGGAAGTGGTGTGGGGGGGAGCAGGGGGGGCAGGGGTTGTGGGGGAAAGTACCTGAGCTCCATGGGTTGAATAGGATGTAGATGTCTTCCTTGACCTTATGTTCTTGGATGCCGGTGATGACGTTCGGCGTCTCGGTAAAGGTCCCCGTCTCGATTACCAGCTTCCAAAGGCCCACGGTTACGGTCGGCGGGATTTGTATCTGCAAGGAGGGCGTTATCGGTGCGTTACGATTTCACATCGTGCATTCTTCGCCGTTTCGAAACGGGAAGTGGCATTCGGGGAAGAACCTGAACGGTGACGGCGGATCCTTGGTGATCGTGGAGCCGAATGTCCCACTCGCCTTCGAGCGTGAATTCGGTTCTGTCGGTGAGCGTCAGGACCACTTTGGTCCCCTTGGGGAGGCTCGCCCGGTTCCCTGTAGGAAGACGGGTTAGACGTGAAATCTTTCCCGACGATTCGAAGGGGTTCATGCCGGTCCCTCACCGAAGCTGAAGACGAACTTGACCATGTCCCTCTCGGCCTCGTAATCCCTGTCTTTGAACCGGAGCGTCACGAAGAAGGCCTCTCCCCTCCGAAGCACGGGCGTCCCGTCGTAGACGAGCTCGTACGAGTCCGTGTGGTGGTTTTGGGCGTTCTCCATCTCGTGAAACTCCAGCGCTTCGACGAGCAATGTCTGGATCTCCGACTCTGCGACGGAAGAGCGACGATGGTCGCTAGGGCGTATTCGATTACGACGTGGACAGATTCGACCGATGGAAGTGCGAGATGATTACCTTGTGTGTCTTCTTCGATTCGTCTCTCGCTCTCTCGTCGTCTCTCGTAGTCCATAACGAATCGGGACATGAGGTCCCGTATGTAAGTGACGTTCGTGGAGCTGTACCGTACCCATCTCGTTGTGATTAAGGTTCTTCTCGTGTAACTTCCCATTTTCACCCTTGATCGTATCAAAATATAGATACGTCTGTTCTTATTTCCCAAAATATGATGAATGATTTAGAAAGATGTCCTAACGAGACAGGGCATGTTTCCAAATAACTGTTGAAACAAATAAACATGCCATAACGAGAGTGCTAGCCCAGGTAGCGATCTACCGTTACTGGGCTGGGCACTATACGTAGTTCTGGGATCATCCCCATCCGCCTTATTATGACACCATACTTAAAAGAAAGTTAAATAATAAATTAAAAGCTGGGATTTTTTACGTTGTAGGCTGACATGAATGGTCCTGGAGAATCTGAGTGTCCTACAGCATGGGACATAAGGGTAATGGGTGGAGCATAATATTAGACCCCCCTATTCAGAAAAATTGAACATCTGATAGGGTTTTTGAGACACACGATGACTAAATGATATCTAAAGAACATACAGTACACATGTAAGCATTATCATATTTGATCCCATTGGCTTGACGGACACGGTCTGGCAGATTAAGAGGGGAGTCTAATATTATGCCCCACCCCGTAAAATCTGGAAGATGCCAGATGAGGAATTTGAAGAGCCCGCCCAGCAACCCTGTCTATGCTGCCACGAGCAGCCGCTCTCTCCTGTTGTCCACTATGGATCCGTCATCAGCGAGGGCAGAAAGAGAGGTGGAAGTTTCACTGGTCGACTGATGCCTCGACCCAGACTGGAGGTTGCGCATGTGCACCGAGTCGAGTCGTCCGGTTGGCATGGAAACGTTGCCATGCGGACGGACACGGAATGAAATGAGGAGGTTCTCTACGTAGAAAACGTATCTCTACGTATGAAAGAAAAAACTAGAGTACCAGCCCAGGCACGGACCTGCCATTCCACTGGCCCCTATACCAATGGAATTATCTTTTCCGCCGCATCCTAATCATCCAACTTGGAAATAAATAAAAGCCGTCACTGCTTCGGTTGTCCTATGTGAAAAGGCCTGGAAAACTAGACAATGTTCTCTGTGTTTTATGCGTCTGGCTCGCGTGGAGATGGGAAAAGAGGATTACGTGTAGGATGCAAGATGCGGCAATTTCAAGCGTACGCTCGCAACCCTGTCCGCGCGGACCACAAACAGCTCCTATCTCATATTGTTTATTATGGATCCATCATCCGCGAGGGCTGGAAGGGAACTGGAGGTTTTTCTTCTCAGTCATTCCGACCTAGGCGGAAGGCTACACATGCGCAATGAGTCGTGTTGTCCGGTAGCTATTGAAATCTGCAGACAGACGGAACAAAAATAAAACTAGAGAGTACCAGCCAAGGTACAGAACTCCAGTGGAACTCCTTTTCCATTTACTTATAGGTCTTTCCATAGATTACTTCAGTGTAATCCGTGAATCTGGGCACTCGACATTCATCCATCCTAAAGACTATCGACAAACCATGTATTCCTCTCTCCAAAGATTGTCAGATGGAGGTGTCCTTCGGAGTGGCACTTGCTCGCTAGGCAGAAGGAGGGAGTAGGAAACATTATGAAACGCGTGCGACCCATTTTGAAAGTACGTGCCGCTCGTGCGTAACATTGTTTCGCAGGTACGAAAGTCAATGGGAAACACTGTACATCCCTCACTCGCTCTCCTTTTAGGGCGATACTTACTTGAATAAATAATAATAATTAAACGATACATAATCCTGTAGACATTTTCCTGTTAAATCAGGTAGAAGGTGCGATATTGTTACTTTTTGAAACCTTTTCCTGAAGGTTCAACTGTAGGCATATCATAAGCTGTTATACTAAAAAAAAAAACTTATCAGTGCACTTCTTGGAAGACATCAGTGCCCATGCCAGGCATACCTATGCAAAGTGGTTCAGAAGTCGTCAAAACCTCGCCAAAAGTAGAAAATGGAAGTTTACAAATTGTAAAATATACTACTTTTTATATCAGAGGTGTCCATTCATCACTAAAACAGCAAAATTTCTGAGTTCCTCCCTCCCCAATTGACGGAATTAGTACCCTACATTTTGGAAACGTCACAACAGGTACAAATGTAGTTTTGTTGTAGTGAGTTTCCTAGCAATTGCTATTCTGAAATAAAATGACGACTCATAGTAAGAGAATGAAAGTTATTTTGACGAAAGGGGCTGGTGAGTGACTTATTTTTCAATTAGCATTGTGAAAAATAAGATTTGTCTATAAATTGTGTAATCATTAAACTCATTCTGTAAAGAAATACTTTTTTACATACAGGGAATCGCCGGAAATTTGTGTGCCAATATGTGCAAAACATTTATTTTCTTAAAATGAGTCTCACATATGTATGTTATCCTCTCATGATAATTAGAGTTTCTCATATTCGCCCGTGTGGTTAGAGTGGCTAATATTATATTGCAATCTGCAACGTCGTTTTGCAAGCAACTATTCAACCTTTACAAGCAACTATTCCACTAATATGGCAAATCTCTTCCTTTTTTATCATGAATCAAAACATATGAATGAAACCCCCAATCCGGAAGCATACACTTTCACCTTCCGTTATATCGACGATCTAGTAGCTATTAACAACGCTTCTATTCAGGCAGAAATCGAGCACACTTATCCAGATTGCCCAGAAGTAGAGGAAACGGTATCACAAACGGTGCATTAGAACAGGTTCCAGTGATTGGGCTTTTTCCCATACCGTTTTTATATTTTATCCTAGACACTACTTATCCAGTTAATCGAGGTTGGGTCAGGTGTTATAGGCCTAATGCGTCAAGGCCAAGGCCTGAAGGTAGCAGAGGCAATCTGGGCATCGCTCCAGTCTGTCAGTGTAGGACACAGTTAACTGAATGCATGGTAGGGCCTTTTCCCTGGGCTACGTTTTTTCTTGTATAGGCTTGTTTAGCAGCTAGCCTTCCCCTCCTTTCTTCTTTTCTCTCATAGGCTTGAGCCATTCTGAGCCAAGCTCTCCCTCCTTTTCCTTCATAGGCTCTAGTCTACCATACATTTTAGTCTTGAGGCTGATCGGGTCAATCGATCGTTAACGGTCATACTGATAGACGAACTTAAGCCGTGATTGCCTCTGAGGCATTAGGTACAGTCTAACTATTTAATTCCATAGACCGTAGCACCTGGCAGTAGAAACTTTCTGGGTAGGGTTTGTTTGGACAGACTTGCGTCCTCAACCCCCTGATGACGCAGGCTGCCTGACAAATTTCTAGGATGAGATCCTTCGCTGTCCATTCTCTTTTTAACTTCCTTTAGCCTTGCCCCATATCTGCAGGCTGTTTTGCCATAGATTATTTGCTATATGTCCTCTTCTTCTGGGCTAGGAGCCGGTCATAGCCTGCCTGTTGCCTTGGGTGGCTATTGCTAGGAAAGGCGTCACTGTTTTACGTAAATTCAATCTATACGAGATCAATCTATATATATATATGTGTGTGTGTGTGTATAGTAATGGACCTAATATTAAAGAAAGATATTGGCTAAATAGGCAGTTACCTGGCTGGGCAATAAACTGCCCCCAACCAAGGTGCACAGATAGAGTAAGAGAAGTTATTTGGTGCCGAAATTGCTCGAAACTACCCAAGGGCAACAGAAAATGCCCAACCTTTGGACCCAGAAGCGTGGGACTTAGAGATGACAGTCCAAGTTATTAGAGACAGCCTGCAGGTATGGGGCAAGGCTAAAGGAAGTTAAAAAGAGAAGGGACAGCGAAGGATCCTATCCTTGAAATTTGTCAGGCAGCCTGCGTCGTCAGGGGGTTGAGGCCACAAGTCTGACTTACAAACCCTATCCAGAGAGTTTCTGCCGTCAGGTGCTACGGCTGTAGAGGTAAAGAGTAGAGGTAGTACTTATGCCCCAGAAGCAATCCCGGCTTAAGTCCATCTGCCAGCGCCACAATTAAACAATCGATTAGCTCGACCAGCCTCACAGCTGAAATCCATGGTAGACACAAGCCTAGAACGGAATGAAGCGAGAGCATGGCTTGGGAGAGCTCAAGCCTATGAAGGAAAAGCGAAAAAAGGGGGGAGGGCTAGGCTTAAAACAAGCCTATCAAAAGAAAAGTGTAGCCTGGGAAAGGCCCTACCATGCATTCAGCTGTGTCCTGCACTGACAGATTGGAACGATGCCCAGATTGCTCNGGAATATTCGAGTTCATTCGTGAGTTGATCTAAAATCTCATTCACTCGAATTGATAGATTTCTGATGCATGTGCTGACTGAGCTGGTGATGAACCGAAATTTTATTGGATTTTTGTGAAATTTGGTGTTTGCAAAAAGGAAAGGTATTTTTGTGCTCTTCGAATCTATTTTTATTCCATTTTCAGAACAGGCACTAAACATTTTCTCTTTTGCTTTCTCAAAACTTATGGTTTGCTCTTGAAATGTAGGGCTGTTCAAAATTTCATCTTTCAGTATTTGGCCATAAAACGTTGGCAAATGAAGGCAAAATTATTGTTGCCTTATCAACAGTGACGATCAAAAATTTTTTGGGCATTTCCTGTAGGAGATCTTTGAATTTTCTGTAGGAAATATCTAAATAGCCTTTTTGGGGTACTTGACCTGAAACTTTCAATTTTCTCTTTAAAAGCTTGAAACACTTTTATCTTCCATGGATGAAAAAAGGCGTCATAGGTTCCAGTTTGAAAAGAAGCTCGAGAAATATAAGATTGGATATCCGTGTGGATTTGCTCGATTAATTCCTCCTTGCTAAACCTATGATTAAACCGATATTTTGCTCCTTGTATGAATATAGCTTTAAGTTCTCTATTGTTTAAAATATCCAAATCTCCTGTAATAATGTGTTCATGATTTCTGTCAATAAACACATGATATTCTGGTTGCTTGCAAACACAGGGTAGTTCGCTGAGCCACACAGATTAGACAGGCCTTGGTGGAGTCTACAAAACAAGTAATAGTTTTAGCTTTTATCAAGGAAGAACCTTTGGTACTCGTGGTA